GAAAGATAATTGAAGGTTAGAATGGAGTGATAATGATATCGATATGTATCAGAATGGGTTTATAGTGTAGATTACTGGGGAGATTACGTATTCCTGATTGTTCATGATATATGGAGGTAACAGCTGTTTGTTATTTTTGTTTCTGAAAACCAAACGGTTACTCATTCTGGAGTTGGAGAGCTGTGCAGATAAATAGTTCTCAGCACAGACTCTTAACAACTGGCACAGGAACCAAACCCGCTTTGCATCTTCTTCACCTCTCATCTTCATCAGCCGACTGTGGTCCCAGGTCGATCCATTACCACTGTTTGTATGGCAGTGCTGCCCCATGACCCTCACCCTCGAATCCTTGCTCCTCCCGGAGTTATTTACATTTTTTTGCTTCAGCGACCCTCGGCTGCAGAGTCACAGAGCAGCAGAGGCGGAGCAGCTTTTGTGAAGGATGCAGTCACATGACCCGGCTGCAGACAATGGCTCCTTTCACTGCCGGGGTTTAACTGTTTCACTGGAGCTTTTTCTTTCTGTTTTCTCACTGCGCCGCACCGCCGCTGCAGTGAAACGTGGCCACGGGCTGACCTGAGGGTTATTGTTCCAGCGGTCCCGCCACGCCCCTCCCCCGCTGTGGGCACCACACACAAACACACCACAGTGTTCTGTCCAGGACATTGAAACTTTTCTAATTTGCTGCTTTTGTTGGGCATCACCGCAGAATAAACACACTGAGTTTGTTTGGTTTAGACTCAGTGGACGCTGGATCAGGCTGACTTTGGACCCAGGCTCCAACCCAGCAGCCAATCACGGTCCAGATAGTTTGTGCAAAAACGATCACTCCTCGCAGTTCAACCTGTGACATATCAGGCTTCACAAGTCGAGGCCCGAGGGCACTGTTTCAGCACAACTTGCACCAAATGAATGTAATGTAACGTGATGTCAGCGCTCGGCTAACTGTTAGCTGTGTTTAGATCAGAGTGAAGTTTAGACCCAGTGGAGCCTGCTAGGTCGGCTCTGCTCTGGCCTACTTTTACTTCTTCTTCTTCTTTTTTGCCTTTGTTGTAGTTTTCTTTTGTCCACTTTTAGCTCGTCGTGTTTTTTTTGTATGTATTTTAGTCTAACTATAACCCCTTGATGTTTTGCCTCTCGTTGAGGCCTTTTGTCATAATAACGCTTCAGTGTTTAGTACGTGCCATAAGATTCCTTTTCAAAAAAAGTGTTTGAAATAATTGTTTTGAGTGAAGTGAATTTTAATTGATTGGGTAAAAACGTCTTTGATCTCCTGTCCCACCACTAGGTGCGACCCAGGTTCTTCTTTTGGCGAGGCGGACGGACCTGCGGCGAATCTCTCTGGACACGCCTGACTTCACCGACATCATCCTGCAGGTAGAGGACATCCGACACGCAATCGCCATTGATTACGACCCCGTGGAAGGATATATCTACTGGACCGACGACGACGTGAAGGCAATCCGACGCTCTCTGCTGGACGGCAGCGACGCCCAGTTTGTCGTCACCACCCAGGTCAACCACCCCGACGGTATCGCAGTGGACTGGATCGCACGCAACCTTTACTGGACTGACACCGGAACGGATCGCATCGAAGTGACCCGCCTTAATGGGACCATGAGAAAGATCCTGATTTCTGAAGACCTGGACGAGCCCAGAGCCATCGTCCTGGATCCTGTGGCCGGGTGAGTCCAGAACCAGGATTCAAGAGGATTGAGTTAATCTTGAATAAAAAAAACAAGCTGTAAATGCAATTCTTGACCATAGTGAAGTTGACTGACACCCCCCGCTCCTCTCCTGCAGGTATATGTACTGGACAGACTGGGGGGAGGTGCCAAAAATCGAGCGTGCAGATCTGGACGGTCTAGAGCGCGTGGTGATGGTAAACACCTCCTTGGGTTGGCCAAACGGTCTCGCACTTGACTATGAGGAACGAAAAATGTACTGGGGGGACGCCAAGACAGACAAGATTGAGGTCAGTGGTATTTTCTAAGTAACATTTTTGTGTACTGCAGCGTCCGTCAGTGACACTGGGTGAACACTGACGATCTCAGAAGAAGTACGAGGTTTTATATACACTAGATACTTCAAACAGTTGCTTCAAAGAACTCTGGTGATAACGTTCAGCTTCTCATGTCTCCCATCAATCTGGTGCTAACCGGTCTTAACCTTGTCTTTTCAACCATGTCTTGCTTTCTAGTCTTTATCTGTGTGTTTCATTCTGTCCTATCTCCTGTGTGTTATTACTGACGGGTTAAGACTTGTCTCGTCTCCTGTCTCTCCGCCTTGACTCTGCCTCTTACGTCCGTCATCTTTTCATCTGTCTCTCTCGTAGGTTAATGCTCCATGTTCTGTGTGTGTGTGTGTGTGTTTTTTGTCTCCATTGTCTCCTCTCGTGTCTCCTCTTGTGTCTCCTCTCTCATTCTCCTGTCTCTGTAATAAGTTGCATCCTCATCCAGACCATAAACACCGTCTCTGCTACGATTGTAAACAGTCCTGCCGCCTGAGAAAACATGACTCTGACAGTCCTGATCTTTGGTCAGCATACGCCCTCCTCCACCAATGGAGGGGTGGGGGGGTCGGGGGGGGCACGACCCCAAGTGAACCCTGCTCCCTTTGAAGCGAGAACCCCCGCGTCCCACCCAGTGATTCCTGGGTTACCTGGGCAGAGTTTCTGTAGGGTAGTGAAGGGCCTCAGCTCACCCCCCCCCCCCCCGCCCACCCCCCCCCCCCCCCCCCACCTCCTCTTCAGGCTCCTCGGTGGACCCAGTTTCTGTGGTCAGATCCCACATCTGGTTCCAATTGCGGCAGGCGCTCCAGCTGCGGTCAGCTCTGTTTAGAATAGACCAGAATCTGAAACCGTCGCCACAGTGTGGTCACGAGTACCGAACCAGCAGAGGCTCCGAGCCCAGGATGGAAACTTCATCTATTTTTACACACACTCCCTGTGTGTTTGTGTGTGTGTGTGTGTGTACGTGTGTGTGTGGAGGATGTTTTGAAACATGGCATCCAGCCACGCAGAGGCTGTTCTGGAAGCAGCAAATCACGTCGCTCCACGCTGTGTTGATGAGTTTAGGGACCGTGAGCAGTTCAGTGACCTCAGTTTTTTTTCTTCAGATTTTTCTTTTCTCTGGATTCCGCACATTTCTTTACTGTAGAGATGCATTTTTGGAACTTTTTTTATCAGATGTTGAAAAATCCATCAGATCGAACCGTGACAGATTGCAGATTAGATTCCTTTCATGACTTGTACATTTTTGCTAAATGAGCCATAATAATGTTTTACAGTCGGTAAAAAAAACATCCGTCATCGTTAATGTACACTGACACACAACTTTACATCTGTTAAAAATCCCAGTTGATCCTAACAAAGTCCTGGAAAAGTACTGGAAATATTTTCTGGAACTGCGGCAGGACTTCGATGCTCACACCGTTCAGACCTCTTTAACCTGGTTTAAAATGACCATAAACTCTGAGATGAAGATGCAACAGGGCGGCTGTTTTTGTTGTGTATTTGTCTGGTAAATAAAAATGATTCTTTTCCCCATGTTGTAGAAAACAGTAAAAAATGACCAGTTTCTATGCGCCACAATGACGTCATCATCAAATATCCGTGTTTATAAAGCACTTTATTTTCATGAATGACCCAATTATCCAGAGTGTTCTTATTGTAGAAGCTGAAATCATTCAAATTATTCCAGATAGAACTCACTCATACTCGTTGATTATCAATATTAGTTCATTTAAAAGAATCCTCCTCAAAAACCAGTTCTTCTGTCAGAAAAACTGTAGTACTGGAGTATAGTGAACTGACAAGGTATTGAGTTCCAGTGTTTAGACGTACAGAAATCCCGGAACTGATGTCCAATTATGTGGAAACAGGACCCTCATGTTATTCTTATGTGAAAGGGATCAGGACTCAGACTGGTCAGAGACTCCTGTGATCCCTCGCCACAACCAGGACTCCCAGCGTTTCTACCCTCCGTCCTGATCCAACTTGACGGCAGCGGAGAATAAGTTTGATGAAGCTTCAAACTGAAACCACTGAAGCGGGAGACAGGAAACGGAGTTCAGAGCAGATCTGAGATCAGATTCTCGTTCTCGCTCCTTTTAACTGGCTCCAGCTCTGTGACGTCAGCCCCTCTTTGAGAGACAGGAAAGGCAGGAATATGGCAGCCACATGTTGACACCGTTTGTTTGCTCCAGCTGTTGCTTCTAATTAGCTCCACTGCAGCATGCTGCTGGGTCAGCAGGGTCTTCACAGCACGATCGCTGTCAGCATCTGCTGCGTCTCGGTGTCCCTGAACGGTGAACGCAGAGACAGCAGTAACGTCTGGGGTGCTTCCTAGTCTGAGAAGAATCACAGGCTGTGTCTGAAATCGCCCCCTACATCCTACATAGTGCACTACATCGGGGGCACGCCATTTTGTAGTAGTGCCCGAAGGTTTAGAGCAGGGGTGTCAAACTTAGTTTGGTTCAGGGGCCGCATACAACCTGATCAGATGTCAAGCAGCCCAGACCAGTATGATCATAATCTAATTAACTATGAATAACAATAAGTCCATGTTTTTCCCCCTTTGTTTTCATGCAAAGAATTACAAGAATATTAGATATTTATTATTATTTATTCATATTTAATTAAATATAACTTTACAAAAAATATCCTGAACATGAAGTGTTTGTTAATTGCTTTGTTTTCAAAGTTCATCAAGCGGGCCGGCTTGAACACCTTAGCGGACCAGTGTTGGCCCGCGGGCCATATGTTTGACACCCCTGTTTTAGAGAGTAGAAGTTGTCCACCGTAAAGGGCACTCCAACAGATCACTGTGAAATCTAGTGCACGTTCGGTGATCACTACCCAAGCAATATATCCCATCATGCATTGCAGTCGTGAGTCGAAGAGGAACAGTGTCCTTCTGTCCATTCTAATTGCCCTGTACAAAATGCTGCGTGTCTTTTACCTGGCTTCATCCGACAGAAATGTAAATTCTCAGAGCTAAAAGTCTCTGTCCTGAGGATCGTAGCAAAGACACTGGCCTTAAAAAGAGCAGAGATGGACCGACCATCCGACCACACATAACCCTAACCCCCTCCGTCTCATCTCCAGGTGATGAACTTGGACGGAACGGGTCGACGGGTGCTGGTGGAGGACAAACTCCATCACATCTTCGGCTTCACGCTGCTGGGCGACTTCATCTACTGGACGGACTGGCAGCGACGCAGCATTGAGCGCGTCCACAAACACACGGCGGAGAGAGAGTTCATCATCGATCAGCTGCCCGACCTCATGGGCCTGAAGGCCACCAATGTCCACCAGTGGGTTGGTGAGTCCACGTTTGGCCTTCACACTCCTACACTCAGTGTGTCTCTCTAAGTCAGTCTCCTAAGTCAGCGTGACTCTGCTGTGTTTCATCAGGAACCAACCTCTGTGCGGAGAACAACGGCGGCTGCAGTCACCTCTGTCTCTACAAGCCCACGGGCGTCCAGTGCGGTTGTCCCATTGGCCTGGAGCTCATCGCCGACATGCGCACATGCATCGTCCCCGAGGCCTTCCTGCTGTTCTCCCGTCACACCGACATCCGCCGCATCTCACTGGAGACCAACAACAACAACGTGGCCATCCCGCTGACTGGCGTCAAAGAGGCGTCGGCGCTGGACTTTGACGTGACGGACAACCGTATCTACTGGACGGACATCACACTGAAGGTGAAGATGGACAGACAGATGTTTGGTTCCCCACTTGATTTTTTTTTTTCCTTCAAGCTTATTAATAAAGGTGTCTAATCTAACCTTTGACCTCTGCAGACCATCAGCCGGGCCTTCATGAACGGCAGTGCTCTGGAGCACGTGGTGGAGTTTGGCCTGGATTACCCAGAGGGCATGGCAGTGGACTGGCTGGGGAAGAACTTGTACTGGGCCGATACCGGAACCAATCGCATCGAGGTTGCCAAACTGGACGGGCAGCACCGCCAGGTGTTGGTCTGGAAGGATCTGGACAGTCCAAGAGCACTGGCTCTGGATCCGGCCGAAGGGTAAGTGACTAGAACAGAGTAGGAGACAAGAATACAGTAGAGTTCAGTACTGACCGAGCAGAGAAGTAAAGAACGAAGTAGAAACTGAGAAAAAAAACTGACCCCGACTTTATCGTCCCCATAGCTACATGTACTGGACAGAGTGGGGCGGGAAACCAAAGATCGACCGCGCAGCGATGGACGGGACAGGTCGCATCACGCTGGTCGCAGACGTAGGCCGAGCCAATGGTCTCACCATAGATTATGCCGAGCGACGCCTCTACTGGACCGACCTGGACACAACGCTGATCGAGTCGTCGAACATGCTGGGTAACTGCTGACACAGCGAATAACAACAATCATTATGAAAAAACAGATTTTCTCACGTGAACTCATCTTCATCTCGTCGCTGTCATGTCTCCAGGTCAAGAGCGTGAGGTCATAGCTGATGATCTCCCTCACCCCTTTGGCCTCACCCAGTACCAGGATTACATCTACTGGACAGATTGGAGCCAGCGCAGCATTGAGCGCGCCAACAAGACCAGCGGCCAGAACCGGACCGTGATCCAGGGCCACCTCGACTATGTCATGGACATCCTCGTCTTTCACTCGTCTCGACAGGGGGGCTGGAACGCCTGCGCCTCCACCAATGGTCACTGCTCCCACCTGTGCCTCGCCGTCCCCGTCAACAGCTTCGTGTGCGGCTGCCCCGCCCATTTTTCTCTCAACTACGACAACAAGACCTGCAGTGGTGAGTTTCAGCGTCGGTCGTCCAGGGAGAACTCCTTGAAGACTGCTATATTCCTGGTGGTCTTTTAAGACTGCCCGAGAAGACATTTAGGCCTTTATAATTGTCCTCAAAATCCAAAGCAACTCCAAGACTTTTCCTAACAGTTTCCTCTTTTCTCTCAGCTCCCACGTCCTTCCTGCTGTTCAGCCAAAAGACGGCCATTAATCGTATGGTCATCGACGAGCAGCAGAGTCCTGACATCATCCTACCCATCCACGGCCTCAGGAACGTCCGCGCAATCGACTATGACCCTCTGGACAAACAGCTCTACTGGATAGACTCCAAGCAGAACGTGATCCGCCGAGCGCAGGAGGACGGGAACCAGGTGAGGTTTGGTTTATGGTTTGTTTTTAATGTACAGCTAGAGCTATGAGCAGCTGACCTGGTGATCTGTCTCTGTCCACAGAGTATGACGGTTGTGTCCAACTCCCTGGTCGCACCCAGTCAGGGGCTGCAGCTGTACGACCTGAGCATTGACATCTACAGCCGTTTCATCTACTGGACCAGCGAGGTCACCAATGTCATCAACGTTACGCGCACAGACGGCAGCAGAGTGGGCGTGGTGCTGAGAGGAGAACACGACAAACCTCGAGCTATCGTAGTAAACCCGGAGAGAGGGTGAGTCCTCTAGTTAACAACAGCCTGCGTCTGTGGTTCCTTAGTGTAGCAGTTAGCACGCCTGCCTTGCAGAGAGAGTACTGGGTTTGATTCCCAGAGGAACCACACACCCCTAAAGGCGCCTCCGGTGGCAGCCAGTATCATTTGCAAAGACTCACACTGTGAATTTTCCCAATGTGGGACGAATAAGGGACTGAATTATTCGTCGATCCTCTTCAGGTACATGTACTTCACCAACCTGCTGGAGCGATCGCCCAAGATCGAGCGAGCAGCTCTGGACGGTACAGAGCGGGAAGTTCTGTTCTTCAGTGGTTTGGGGAAACCTGTCGCTCTGGCCATCGACAACGAAGTAGGGAAGCTGTTCTGGGTCGATTCCGACTTGAGACGCATCGAGAGCAGCGACCTCTCTGGTGAGTATAAGGACTTACACATGTCGGCAAGGGTTCCTCACAGGTTCTTGGGAATGATCAACTAATCAATGTCAACAGGTTCCTGATGGTGGAACAGGAAGTTTTTAGCCACTGGTCAGATCTGAATGTCTGGTGTCATTCAGTCAGGTGAAGCTAGTGCCCCCTGCAGGACAGTTAGATTAGAATTCTCCCTCCACCACAAACATTATTGCTGTCTTAGGTACATTAGGTCTCTTAGTGACATCACTTATTGGTGATCAGCTGTGATGTCATCACAGTTTAAATGCACAAATAAACAATTAAATGTTATCTTTCAATTTAAGTCTGTAAAAGAAATGATCAAAAGAAAGAATTAAAGAACCTGAAGCAGCAGCTGTAACGGTGTGTAGATGAAAGTTAATGCTGATGTCGATAACATGTTGTGTCTGTAGCTGTGACGTCACTGACCTCCGTGTCACTGTCCTCCTGCCTCCCCCCCGCTCCATCCCAGTCTTTCTCACCCATTTTGTTGCCTTTGTTCCTGAAGTTTTTTGCCCGACAACCTTGTTTTTTTGTTTATCCCGATGGCTTTTTTTCCCAAACCTAATCCAGGGGCCAACCGTATCGTCATCGCCGACTCCAACATCCTGCAGCCAGTGGGTCTCACTGTCTTTGGGAACCACTTGTACTGGATCGACAAGCAGCAGCAGATGATTGAGCGCATCGACAAGACCACCAGAGAGGGACGTACCAAGATCCAGGCTCGCATCGCTTACCTGAGCGATATCCACGCTGTGCACGAGCTGGACATGAGGGAGTACAGTAAGTTAAAGGTTAAATATCTTGAGCTGAATCTGGTTGTGGAGAAATACGGTCTTTGGACTGTTTTGTTGGTTCCATAGTGTAGCGGTTAGAACGCCTGCCTTGGAAGCAGAGAGCAGAGGTTCCTGGGTTTGATTCCCAGAGGAACCACGTGTTTGGCGCTTGCTAGGGGCAGCCTGTTAACATCATATCTGCTGCTAAATCAACAATTTCCCAAATATGGGATCAATATAGTGTGAATTTATTTAATATATGTGAAGTGGCCCAGTGCTTGGTCTAGAACAGACATGAGCAAACTAAGGCCCGGGGGCCACATGCCAGTTCAGCTTTTTAATCCGGCCTGCCAATCTTTTCCAGTTTATATAATGTATTTATATCATCATTATACTTCTGCCTTTTCCCTGCAATGCCCACGTTTCCCCATTAGATGGAGTAGAAAATGATGAGTGAATGATGATGAGTAGAAAAAACCATGTCATTTATCTTAGTTTACTCCTGACCCGGCCCTCAATTGTAGAGAATTGCGGCCCGAGTCAAAAAGTTGTGAAAAGAAATGATTCCTGCATTTCAAGGCTTTTGATTGGCCAGTAGCCGTTGAAGAATAAATTCAGGAAATAATTTTGACCTTAAATCCACCTTCAGGTAAACATCCTTGCACGTGGGACAACGGCGGCTGTTCTCACATCTGCATCGTAAAAGGCGATGGAACGACGCGCTGCTCGTGTCCCGTTCACCTGGTGCTGCTGCAGGACGAGCTGTCCTGTGGAGGTGAGGGAATCGAACACGCCTACATGTCTCTTATGTCCTTTAAAATCTCAGTTTTGGCCTGAAGACTTACTTTCTGCGTCTTTATTACGTCGACAGAACCTCCCACCTGTTCTCCTGAGCAGTTCTCCTGTACGTCCGGTGAGGTGGACTGCATCCCACAGGCGTGGAGGTGCGACGGTTACGCCGAATGCGACGACAAAAGCGACGAGGACAACTGTCCGGTCTGCTCGGATTCGGAGTTTCAGTGCGACAGTCGGCAGTGCATCGACCTGAGCCTGCGCTGCAACGGCGAGTTTAACTGTCAGGATCGATCGGATGAGAGCAAGTGTGAAGGTTTGGCAGGTAAGAGGCAGAGACGACGGCGACAACACAAACCTGCTGTGGTCAAATCCACTCTTATTTCACTTGTCCTTGTCCTTGTCCTCTCTCAGTGCCTTGTCCTCTGGACCAGTTCACTTGCACCAACGGTCAGTGCATCGGAAAACATAAGAAGTGCGACAACAACATGGACTGTTCCGACAACTCGGACGAACTGAGATGCTGTGAGTTTGAAGCCTCTACTCCCTCCTCCTCACGGTCGCTTCTTCTTCCTTCCACCGTAACGTCATTTCTCTTCTTCTTCTTCTTCTTGTGTGTTTCCAGTTACCACCGAGGAGCCTCCTCCTCCTGCCAACACCACCATCGGGTCCATCGTGGCCGTGGTCATGGCTCTGTTTGTGGTCGGCGCCGTCTATTTCGTCTGTCAGCGCGTCCTTTGCCCGCAGATGAAAGAAGACGGAGAGACGGTCACCAACGATTTCGTGGTCCACGGGCCGTCGTCGGTGCCTCTGGGATACGTACCGCACCCGAGCTCGCTGTCCAGCTCGCTGCCAGGTCAGTAGACCCCCGGAGTGATGTCATGTTATTCCTCCTCCCTGCAGAAAGGAGGCGCTGATGTTTATGTTACACCCTTAACAGGAATGTCCAGAGGAAAGTCCGTGATTGGTTCCCTCAGTATCATGGGCGGGAGCAGCGGACCGCCGTACGACCGCGCGCATGTCACCGGGGCCTCGTCCAGCAGCTCGTCCAGCACCAAGGGGACGTACTTCCCCCCGGTGAGAAGAAGCCGCTCTGTCTTTGTGTCTGTTCACGTTGTTAGGACCTGGGTTTGTAAACAGTTAAATGAAAACATGTTTATTTTCCTCACGGTTGTTCGTTGATGTCGTCGTTTCAGATCCTGAATCCTCCTCCGTCTCCGGCCACCGTTCGTTCTCAGTACACGCTGGAGTTTGGTTATTCCTCCAACAGTCCATCCACTCATCGCTCCTACAGGTGTCTTTCTCTTCAGTCTCCTTATCGTCACACTGTTAACAGTCATTTATGTGGATCTGGCAACCGGCCAGAGGTCACTCAAGGTCATCGGAGTGAATTAGTGAAGTTGAAAGTGAACTAATTAGAAATCTGTTTTTGGCTTTTGACCCCATTTTGACATCACTGCTTTTCAGAGACATTTTAGTAGCAGTCACATGATCCCAGCTGTCAGTCACTAATGAAAAAACAGTTATATTTTTAACCAATTACCAGAGCATGGGTGTCAAACACACACACACACACACACACAGTTCCAACCCAACTAAACCTGAGTGTATCTGTCTCCTCAGCTACCGGCCCTACACCTACCGTCACTTTGCTCCACCCACTACACCCTGCAGCACCGATGTGTGCGACAGCGACTACACTCCGGGACGTCGGGTACCACTAAAGTCCAGCACCACAGCTAAGGGCTACACCAGCGACCTCAACTACGACTCGGAGCCTTGCCCTCCGCCGCCTACGCCACGCAGCCAGTACCTGTCGGCGGAGGAGAACTGCGAGAGCTGCCCTCCGTCGCCGTACACCGAGCGTAGCTACTCCCACCACCTCTACCCTCCGCCCCCGTCGCCCTGCACGGACTCATCGTGAGCCGAAAAAGGCCCTGTCCCCCCCCTCCGCACAGCTCCGCCCCCTCACTGTAAATAGCAATTGTGCATATACCAGGCTAAAAAACGGGAACGAGAGACTGACGTGACGGAGGAGGAGGAATAGTGGCCGTTGCAGGAGACAAAGAGAACTGCAGCTGCGAACGTTTGTACATTGACAAAAGAGAAAAAAATCATATTTATATATTTTCTATACAGTGTTTACTGATGACATCATCGTGGTTTGTATTAAGAAATTTGTACATTTTTTTAAGAAAAAAAAAGCTTTTATTACAAAAAAAATCACTACAAACATAAAATGCCTTAAAGGAGAAGGAACGGCGGGAGGTCAAAGGTCGGGCTTTATCTGATGCCAAATAAACAGAATCATCACACAGAGACGGCAGCAGCAGCGACGGGAGCAGTTCAGCAGCCTTTTTTTGTTACCATGGTAACAGTCAGAGGAGAAACGAGAGCTTCATCAGATCAGTACGGATGAAGGTTGTAAAGTAAAGGCACATATTTATGGAATGAATAACTATGGAGGTCAAGGGTCATTTTTGATGGTTCTGATGGTTGGATCTCAGGAGGTCCAGGGGAAATGACCTCCCCCCAACAACAAGAGATTGAGTGGAAGCCCAGAGAGGACACGTCTGGTTCAAGAGACTCAACAACCGGCCTGGATTAATTATTTGAAGAAAAAAAAAAACATAAGAACACGTCGGATGGTCGTCATCTGCCCAGGTCACGTCTTCAGAAGCTCAGAGAAAAGAGAACAAACAGGAGCAGAGAATTCACCGCAGCCCAGAACGGATCAGTTCTTTTCTGTAGTCCTAAAACCAGGTTAAGTCGACTGAGGCCCGCGGAGGAGCGATTACCATCGATGGAAGAAAAAGTAGAGAAAATAAATCTGTGACGTTTCTCTCTGAGCTTCTGAAGTCTCATCCCATCAAAGGAGCCGGCGTCTGGAGCATCTGTAACCTCTGCTCCTCCAGCCTTCCTCACCTCCTGTCCTCTCTGAGCTCCTCCACCCTGAATCCACCGTCAGTGAGGCGAACAGCTGGAACTTAAACCAAAACAAACGTTTTCACTTTTTTGACTCCTCATCTTTTCACTCTCCAAAACAAGGAAAAGTCTGACGTCATCCAATCACATCGTCCTGTTTTGTCTTCTGTTTCTTTTTTTTTCCTCCTCCACCTCTGCAGGAGGAAACACAAAATCCTGTGCCTGAACATTTTCACACTTTGATATTCTTTTTTTTAATTTTTTTTTTTTTTTAAAGATGACGTTGTTTACTCTGAGGACAAACAAACAAACAGGACTGGAACTCCATGAATGCTCTCTATAGTATTTTTGTACCACATACTGTGTAGATATATAACCTATTTATAAGCTATTTAGAGAATCAATGTAAATCTGTCCATTGAACTTAACTTTTCATTCCGTCTTTAATTTTTTTTTCTTTTTAAATAATGTCTCACTATATTTTTTTACAGAAAAACAAAAACAAACGTACAGACGACAATCTCATATCACTGCATGAACCGATGCTTCAGGGTTTATCTGGGTTTTTTTTTTTTTTTACTTGTCAGGCGTTGAATCGACAGCAGCTGGTTTTATCATTTTATCTTCCCCATGTTTCTAAATGTTTTACAGGAAAAAAAGAGGAAAAAAAACAAACACCAGCACAAAATAGACAATCCAAGGATTTTCAGTTGCTGACATTCGGAGACGAAACCACGTTCTTACAAAGTAGATCAAAATACTTTTATATCTGTCTCCCTTTTAGCGTTGTAGTTCTGTTCTTACGTAAAATGAAAAAAAAAAGTTTAATTACTGAATCCAACAAACAGTTTGTAACACGATCTATATCTAAACTGCTGCATTTTTACGAAAAAGTAAAGAAAAAGACTTGATGGGTAAGAATTAAATTGGTTTTAAAAAGTCATTTGTATGAAAAAAAATCCTACATTTTAACATTTTTACAAAAAATACTTTTTTTATGTACTGATCCCATCAATTCATCTGAGGCACAAAATTAAAAAAAATAAATTTTAAAAGAAAACAGTGACAGCATAAAGTAAAGAGTTATATTTTTACTAAAAAGCAAATTCGTTCAAATGTGTTAAATGTTTAAAAAAATGTTTTTTGGGTCTTTAATGACTTCTACAATAATCAACAAAAAAACTCAGAAATTCAGGAGAACACGTTTGTAAAAAAATGTTTTTCTAAACGTTTTCAAATGTACTGTAAAATGTGTCAAAACAATAATACTAGTGCCATAGAGTGGACGTCAGAAACACTTTTTACCACTACTGTACTATTATCCATGCAAGTTACTACTTCTTTTTTGGAAAATCACAAACAATAAAACTAGTCAAACCTATGGAAGCCCTCTGACACGTAAACCTGTTCTGTTGAATTTTGGCCGCTGGCTGACTCCGTACATCCTCCTCCACAACCGTCAGCTGATAAAAACACAACTAAGCTGTTTGTATACGCACACACGCACACAAAGCAATCAAAATTAAGAGAGGTTCTCATCTGCAAACTGCACTTTACAGGACTGTTTGTTTGGTTTTTTTTGTTTGTTTTTTTTTTGTTTTTTTGTGCGGTACCGAGGTGTTTGTTGAGCAGCTGGAGGAAAGTTGGTTAAAGACAAATGTATGGAAGCAAAAAAAAAAAAGAAAAAATCTGATTTTAAAGATGGATTAGTGGAGTCTGGATTACGATGGGTTCTTTTTTTGGGGGGGGGCAAATTTTTCCACAGACTTTGAAGACTGTTTCTTCAATAGTCAGGAATCATTACACATTTGTTTTTGCATGTGTGTGTTAGCAAAACATACGAACTGTAAAAATTGTTAATAAATGAAGACAAAAAATGTAGAAATTCAAATCGTTTGAATTATTTTATTTCCAAAAACAATCGGATTTTAAAAAAGAAAATGTGAAACTGTTAACATCAGTTTTCTCAGGTGCATTTTTTTATCAAAACATTATGATGTTAACAAATAAAAACCCCAAAAGCTCCTTAGACATATGAGAAACAGAATGTGTTTAGAAAATCTATTTAAATGAAGAATATAGAAAGAGCACATCGAAAAAAAGTTAATTAGAAATGACCAATTTTAAGTAAAAGGACTTACATTTTTTTAAAATTTTGATTTTAAATTTTTACATCAACTTAAGCTAACAGTCATTTATAAATGTTTTTGACACAAATAGATTAAATAGATGCTAAATTGTATTTTGATATAAAATATATGCTGAGTCAATCCCGCCAAAGTAAAAGCTCCAAAAGTATTTTTTTCTGTCTTATCAAAATTTTAAAGCATATTTTGAGAATCGCTGTTCTCTGAATCAATGATGCGGTAACTTCTTTGGTAAGTTTGACTAAAATCAAGTCGGTCCAGACTCTGATGAGGATTGATGTTGTTTAAAGGTACATTAACGTTTTGGAGATCTGAGAGAACTGAATCTGTTGCTCACCTGGGGCGATTTTTTTCTTGGACTGTAAATTGTCCTGTTTGTTACAGAGAGTGAAGAGTGAAAAGAAAGGAAAAAAAAAAAAAACGTTTAAGAAAGTGAAAAGTGACAAGATTACAAAAAGCACTTTTGTCTTCAGGTTGTAAACAGGAAGCTGTTGTTTTAAGTGGGTTACGTCTTTGTGTTCTTCATCTGTCTGTGTTCCCATGGTGCTTTGTGAGAACATTTGTGGCGTTGATTCTGTTTTTTCTCCAATGAACCACTGAACATGTGTGGACACATGGATGTGTACAGCGTATCCAGCTGCTGCATAAGCTGATGTAACTCTTGATGCTGATGTTTATTTCTCTTCTGTTCAATATAAATGAGTGAACTTTCAAATGTGAGTGTCTCTGTGTCTTTGCTTTCCCACTGAAAGTGAATGTAAACAAACAGGTTGTAATTTGTCCTCGACTTCTGATTGAAACATGAAACCAGAAATGGTAACCACAGGGTGGCGCAGAGGAAGAGATCAGTCACTAGGGGGTGACATTTGTTATTGCCATTTTGTTACCTTAGAAGTGCATGAGAAAATAGTCTCCCACATAGGAATAGTTGGTCATTTATCAGTTAGTTCTTATTAAAGTTTCATGTGACTTTCTACAGTAAACATTAGCAACGTCTCAGTAGCGCCCCCTCCTTCCTTTTCTGCGTCGCCTCGGAGTCTCAGTTGGGTTGAAAACCATAATTACACAATCATGATTGTGAAAAAAAATTTGGTCTTACCAGCTTCAGTTCTGTGTAGCGTATGCTTCCACCTTGTGGACATATAATACAGCGTCAACAACAACTTATCCAATCCAAATACACTATTATACTCTGGTATTCTGGTGTCAGTTTACATAAGTGAGATATATTTTAATACAGGGGAAATAAAAATCAAGAAAATAATTTAAAATTTGTTTTATCGTATTTTCTAATGAATAATATAATATAAAAACTACTGGTAGCCTAATAGAAGTACTAGATTAATACGTACAAGTAGTCTACATAAAAGACAAACAAATCGATAAAGGGGGTTTTACGCTTTAAGCAAGTACTTCCTGTTTTCCTTTTACCGTAATGTAACAGTAAAAGCAGCACAAAACAATAGAGAACCTGTCAGCTCTCTGGTTTAAGTTTACCGTAATCAAATGCCTACGTATGAAGCAGAACACGGTCGTGTTTTTGAGAGAATAAACGAAAAATCTTAAAATGATTGCGAATACAGCTTTGACGTTGCGTTTCGTTTTCGAGTATTACGGTTAAAAAGGTGTTCCGTTTCGAGAACGCTTTACGTCGCGTCTATTGGTCCGCTTTTGTCACATGACGACAAATGAACGGAAGTGGAGGATACGGTCGCTGAAGGAAGAGGTAAGGAAATAAACAACGAATTTAAACAATTCATTTTCTGCGTTTAAACGACGTTGTTGTTTAATTCACGGTTCATGTTCAAAAACTCAGGACATTAACGGACGCAGCCGCCTGGGAGAGGTAGTTTGAGCCGTTAGCTTGTTAGCATTAATAATGTTTTATGACCGTGTGTCATGTCCGCATCTGAAAATCGAAATGAAATTATGTTTCGGAAATTGTATTTTTGTACAAATATGAACGCTGCGTTAATGAAGTTTATGAAGCAATAGCGGGGACAAGGCGCTGCTTCATGGGCAACGGCGGCCGCTGCGTTTTTGCGGATGTTTGTGTTCATTTGTAGGAATGTGTAGTGTAAGAAACAAACGCAGGGAAAAAAATGTGCTTCATTTTAAAATCACCTTTAAGTATCAGACGGACTCACGTGACTCTTATTACCTTGTCGTCACGGAAAATCCAGGGTTCGAGTCCGGGGCGGGAATTTCCCACTGACGTCCTGTGTCGTAACAGTTCAACGGCCAGAGTTTACGTTTGACGTTACGTCAGTTTTTAGTTAATTTTATTATCAAACAAAAATAATAAATGTTAAAATTAATTTGATTAAAATATAATGTATACAGGTTTATTTTATGTTCAAAGACACATAAACAAATCCAAAAATGTGTTAATGCCATGGATTCAAAATTCAATGATATAAGCATGTCATGTTTTGTATCATTAAATTCATAAGCCATTGATGTGATTCACAAAATTGGTTAAATCATTTATTTAGAGAATTAAAATTAACATCAAATAAAACGATGAAGTATAATTAACTACCCCACCCATTAAAATGATTAATTATTTAAATAAAAACATCTCAGTATTACCTAAAAACAAACCCCTTTAACAAAAAAAATTAAGTGAATACAAGTCCTATTTTAAATAATAAATAAAATATATGTATTAAAATATATTCCATACTGTTGGTTATTAGTATTTTAAAAATTATGAAATAAACACCAAAACAAAAGTCATATTTAGGTGGTTTGATTTCTGTGCTGAATCTTTTGCATATTTGCTTTATTCTCTCCAGGATCAGCCGTTGCCATCAGGATGCAGAGCACCACCAACTACCTGTGGCTGATCTCTGATCTGCTGGGTCAGGGAGCCACCGCCAATGTTTACAGAGGGCGACACAAGGTACAAGCTAATCTGCTGCAGTTCCAAATGAATCCACTATGTAAACATTAATGGACCTCTTTTGACTTTCCCTTCATGTTTGTACAAATATCAATCACCCTCTGTCAGACCGGAGAAGTGTTTTGTGAAGTTCTCGGGTCAAATTTCAGTTAACTCTCTTGCTTGTTGTCACTTTAAACTCGTCCGATTAAGTCAGCGCGGAGGGAATTTCCCGTGAACCACTGCAGAAGGTGAAAGATCAGTCTGAACCTGACTCCTGAGCCACTGAAGATGTTAAAGCTGTTGTCAGTGATTTATGTCAGATACATTTGTGGACTCTTGATCTTAATCCTAAGATCTTTAGGTTTTGCTCATTGACACCAGTCTCAGTCACAGGAGAGGAAGTCCATGGAATGATAGTTACTGCAGGCTGGAAACACAAAGACGAGTTAAATACCAGCTACAACACTAGGGTAATGATTGCTAAGGCATGATCTGGCCGATCCAAGGAATGTCATTTTTATTTCAGGCTGATTAAATAACCATTGAAGAAGAATAAAACTCTAGCAACCCTTAGCTACAAACGGTAGCTAATGCTGTTCAAAGCTTAGCTTAGTTGTTAAGTCAGTCAAACAAAATCAAAATAATGCAAAAAGAAAAACAAGTTGGTTACAGATGACAATAGACAATGTCAGCCAATAAAAATTCAAGCTGATGAAAATTGCCAAATTATATAAAATACTTAACCAACCATTACCTGAAGGATTGCCTAATAGCAGCTAAAACACTTATGCTAACCGTGAGATAACTACACAGCACTAACTACAAGTATAGTGAACAGATCGTTCTCTAGGTGGTGACAAAACTGCTTCGCGTTTTGAATTTGACTGACTGGTCAAGATCTGTGAACTCTCTCAGAAAACTGGAGACCTCTACGCTGTCAAGGTCTTCAACAACCTCAGCTTCCTGCGTCCACTGGACGTCCAGATGAGAGAGTTTGAGGTTCTGAAGAAGCTCAACCACAAAAACATCGTCAAGCTGTTCGCCGTGGAGGAAGAGGTCAGTGCTGACCTTTTGATCACGTCCTATGTCTTTGTGTTGGTCTTTTAACCGTCACCACCTTGTGTTCCTCAGTCCAACACACGCCACAAAGTACTGGTGATGGAGTACTGTCCCTGTGGGAGTCTCTACACTGTCTTAGAGGAGTCCACCAACGCTTATGGACTCCCCGAGGACGAGTTCCTCATCGTTCTACATGACGTGGGTGAGGAACTTCGCAGACATTTCGTTGTGAGGAAGTTGGCCGTGTGTGTGTGCGCCACTCTCTGATTGGCTTTTCTGGCTCCTGCAGTGGCGGGTATGAACCACTTGAGGGAGTACGGAATCGTCCACCGAGACATCAAGCCAGGAAACATCATGAGGGTGATTGGGGAAGACGGACGCTCCGTCTACAAACTGACAGACTTTGGAGCAGCCAGGGAGCTGGAGGACGACGAGCAGTTTGTGTCTCTGTACGGGACAGAAGAATATCTGGTGAGAGACACACAGGATTCAATCAGAGCAGCTTTTAGTGAGACATGTAAACATGGACCCCTGAATTTCTTCTCCTCCTGTGTTTGCTGTGCAGCATCCTGACATGTACGAGCGAGCAGTGCTGAGGAAGGACCACCAGAAGAAGTACGGCGCCACCGTGGACCTGTGGAGTATCGGCGTCACCTTCTATCACGCCGCCACCGGCAGCCTCCCCTTCAGACCCTTTGAGGGACCGCGACGGAACAAGGAAGTGATGTAAGGCTCAGCAAGGAAAAAAGTGATGACTCATATGATCTGATGTTAGACAGACATTTTGTTTCTGTCGTCCCAGGTATAAAATCATCACAGAAAAACCGTCCGGAACCATCTCAGGTCACCAGAAATGTGAAAACGGTAAAATCGAGTGGAGCACAGAGATGCCGGTGTCCTGCAGTCTGTCCAAGTGAGGACTCGTCTGTTTCTTGTCCTTACATCTCTTCACATTTCAACATCACCTCTGATCTTTACTATTCTATATATGACCTCCAGGGGGCTCCAGAGTCTCCTGACCCCTGTGCTCGCCAACATCCTGGAGGCAGATCAGGAGAAATGCTGGGGCTTCGACCAGTTCTTCGCCGAGACCAATGACATCCTGCACCGGGCGGTGGTTTATGTCTTCAGCCTGCAGCAGGCGACGCTGCACCACGTCTACATCCACGAGTACAACACGTAAGTGACACCTAGAGGACAGACAGGGAATTCTATTTGCCGTGTTCAGCATTCTAAGAATAATCTCACAACATATACTAAAAAAAATATACTAAAAATATATAAAAGTAATCCAAATGCTGTTCATGTTGTCTCCACAGGGCAGCGCTGTTCCAGGAGCTGTTGGCTCGCAGGACGAGTATTCCTCTTCACAACCAGGAGCTGCTCTACGAGGGTCGTCGCCTTGTCCTGGACCCCAACCGCCAGGCCAAGTCCTTCCCTAAGACATCCAGAGACAATCCCATCATGCTCGTCAGCCGAGAGTCGGTCGCTATGGTTGGACTTATCTTTGAAGACCGTACGTAAACAGCTGATTCTGATTAGTTGATTTTTTTTTATAAAAATGAATGACTTAAGTAACCTTATGGTTAAAGGGTAGAGTGACTCTACATTTGTGTTTTCACAGCCAGTCCACCCAAAGTTCAGCCCCGATACGACCTTGACTTGGACGCCAGCTACGCAAAGGTTAAAACGTCAATCCAAAAATCCAGAATCCTCAGGTGAGTTTTTTTTTTAAGCTCACCTCATCTCTTCCTGTCACCATTCAGACTTTTGCCGGTGACGTCGGACACTTGTGGAAAACTTCAGAGTCTCTCCTGGTCTATCAGGAGCTGGTGAGGAAAGGAGTCAGAGGTTTAATGTGAGTTCCAGACGTCACGGTTCAGTGGGACGCCTTTTGGTCGACTGTTCAAATCTGTGTGGTCACTGGTGCTGTGCTGTGTGCAGAGAGCTGATGAAGGAGGACTACAGTGAGATCCAGCATAAGAAGACAGAGGTGTTCCATCTGTGTAACTACTGCACACAGATACTGGAGAAGATGGATCAGCTGTGAGACACACACACACACACACACCTAACCACATATAATGCATCCCCTAACCTCTTGTCATTACCTTATCTATGACATATACTGTATTAACCACATATAATGCATCCCCTAACCTAACATATATATATATGGTGTACAAGTGTCTATCTCTATATATATGTATAAATATGTGTGTAAATATATATATAATTCTTACTTTAACTCGAAGCCTAATTCTGATCCTAAATCTTCAACCTCTAAATGCCTCTCCCTCAGTGGAGTCGTACACTGGGACACTGTGTCCCCACAACCATGGTATTTGTCCACACAACTACAGCTATACTGGCTACAAAAACACACACTCTGTATCCCTTACCTATGTCATGTGAAAGAAACAGCATTTGTATTTCCCCTAAAGTTTGGCTCCGTGCTGCAGGTTTGAGATACTGATGCAGGCCAACGTGCTAGTGAGCGAATATGACGAGATCTCAGACATGCACAAGAAAATCATCAGAGTAAGTTGAACTAGTATTTGTCTTGGCTTTTATTTTACATCACCAATATGTATATTTTATGAACGGGATTTTAGTAGCCTAGGAACCAATCAACGAACGAACACACTTCCATCAAAATGCCATCTTTTTTCAAGACGAAAAACTGTTACGTATGTTCTAACAGGCCTTATAGTTCCATAACTGTTGAGAAATTAGTTAAAGAAACCGTTACATAAATTCACATTGACATGTCAGATGCATACAGTGATGTGTCATCAGCATAGAGTAGAATATAAACCTGTGTTCACAGGCTGTGTTAATGTTGACAGTGTACATGTTTTTTCCCCCCATGTGTTGTTGCCATGGCAACAGATCTCCAGCTCCATGGACCCGATCGAACAAACGACGCAAGACATTAAGAGCAAATTCCTTCCTGGCGGTCCGCTGACCGACACATGGACGCAGCAAGTGGGGACGCACCCAAAAGACAGGAAGTGAGAGCAAAGGCAGAGTCAATGTGTGTGTGATGAAATATCTGATTAATGAGCTCTCACATCGGGTCTGACCGTGTCACATGGTCTGGTCTCTGCAGTGTGGAGAAAATCAAAGTTCTCCTTGACGCCATCACGGCCATCTACCAGCAGTTTAAGAAGGACAAGGCAGAGAGACGTGAGTCAGGCTCTTTGTTCCTCAGTGGGTTCAAATCCACGTCTACGTCTTCAGGGCGTAGGACCTCATTGAGTTTGATTCCTGAAAAACAAGTTTGTCTGATCCTCGTCCTCAGAACTGCTTCTGTGTTTTCAGGTCTTCCATACAACGAGGAGCAGATCCATAAGTTTGACAAGTGAGTTCTGGTTCTTCTCTGCAGAGACACGTCTCTGTCTGAACTGGGGTTTTGTCAAATCCTCGACCTGTGTTTGTGTGTTAACGTGTCTTTTTTTGACTGTGTTTGTGTGTGTGTGGGTGTGTGTGTGTGTGTGTGTGTTTTTGACTGTGTGTGTGTGTGTGTGTGTTTTTGACTGTGTGTGTGTGTGTGTGTGTGTTTTTGACTGTGTGTGTGTGTGTGTGTGTTTTTGACTGTGTGTGTGTGTGTGTGTGTTTTTGACTGTGTGTGTGTGTGTGTGTGTGGGCCGAGTGCAGACAGAAGCTGGTCCTTCATGCCAGTAAAGCTCGGTCTCTCTTCACCGAAGAGTGTGCCATGAAGTATCGTCTCTTCATCTCCAAGAGCGAGGAGTGGATGAGGTAACAGTCTGTGATGTCATCATGACATCACAACCCTTCTTGAGGGAGACAGTCTGAATCATAATGTTTGTTCATTTGGGTTTTTATTTATTTATTTATTTTTATAGAAAGGTTCATTTAGTGAAGAAGCAGCTGCTGGGGCTGACTGGTCAGCTGATGAGCATCGAGAAGGAGGTGACCATGCTGATGGAGAGAGCCGTGAAGGTAGGCAGCCGGGGTGACTGGGCGTCAGCGGCGCCTGCGTTATACTGTTATTGTACAAACAGCTGCACGTCTCCTTTTCCTGCAGCTTCAGGAGCAGCTTCCTCAGAAAGTGCTCCCTCTAGTGTCCAGTGGGATGAAACCTCAGGCTTATCTGAGCCAGAACACGCTGGTGGAGATGACGCTTGGGTGAGTGGGCGAAGAACTCCTCGTCGTTTTATTTTTTTTAATTTAACCTTCATTTATTTATTTTATATCTAATACAAATTTCAAATGTTTTATGGAAATGAAACCATGCCTGTAGAGGCCACACCTCTATAGTTCTTGCAACACTCAATAGTGTGTGTTGAAAAAGAGTTGTTCTTCATGTGTTTGGTGTTTGTGATTTCCCAATGACAGCACCTTTGGGTAAAGAATTCAAACCACGGTCACTGTTAAAAAAATCCATTATAAATTCAAAAAAACATGATAGGCAAACATAAAGAACACCAACTTACAGTGATAAAAACATGATAGGCAAACATAAAGAACGCCAACGTACAGTGATCAGTGCTGAGCAGAACCAGAGACTACACACACACACACATTTATTCTGCTGTACAGACACACCCATCTCTGACACACTCATTTCCTTTTGTGTGAAACGCATTCAAATCCTGACAGGCGTGAAAAAGTAAGAAAAAATAAACCAGTTTCAGATCTCAGAGATCTCATTGTACCACAACAAAACCACCGTCCTCGGGTGATGAACAGAAATTTACATCAAAATGTTTTATATAAGGCCCATCAAACATAAGGCCAGTGGGCCAAAACTGGTCCACTAGGGGGTTCAATTTGGTCCGCTTGATGAATTTTGAAAGTGAAAAAATGCACAATACTTAGTGATGTTATTTTCAAATTATATTTCATTAAATATGAATATTTTCTAATATACTTTTACTTATTTGCAGAATAACAAAGGGGGGAAAACTGATTGTTTTTATAGGCAATTATGTTGTGATTGTACTGGTCCGGCCCACTTCTAATGACATCATGTTGCCCCTGAACCAAAACTGGGATTAAGATTTGTTGACCTGGGCCGTTAGAGTTTAAGAATGTGATAAAGGTCATCAGTACTGCCTTCATCATCATCATCATCATCATCACCGTGTTCTTGTTCAGGATGAAGAAGCTGAAGGAGGAGATGGAGGGCGTGGTCAAAGAGCTTGCGGAGAACAACCACTTCTTAGAAAGGTCAGATGAGAGATCAGAGAAGTTCATTTGACTTTAAATTCTCGTTCACCCAAAACATGACGAAGCGTCTTCCGTCTCTGTCCCTCAGATTCGGGACGCTGACGTTGGACGGGGGACTGCGGGGCTGAGGAGTCTGCACACGTTCTCTCTCTCTGTAAAACTTGTAAATAACGTGGGCCAGTTGTCTCGGTGTGAACGAACCCTCCTGCTGACGTGTGAGCTGTGAAAACATCCACGACGTTCAGACCTGACCGCGTGTGAAAGGCTGTGCTCGTACCACAGGAACTCTTAGTCCGAGGAACTATAAATTATCAGGAGACCCCGAAACTGGAGCAATAACACAAACATGGTAAACGCGGAGGAGGTCGTTAGGCTGCTGATGATTGCGACTTTTTTTTTTCTTCTTCTAAGGCTTAAAATCAGGCAAGACCTAAAACAAGACAAACCCGAGTGGAAGCTCATAAAAAGGTACATATTACCCGACCGTATGACTTCCCGGAGTCCTTGTACCAGGAACTCGGGCCTGTATTCACAGCATGTCTTAGCTGCGTGCGCTTGAGCAATGAACCAAATGTCCACTGCAGGTTCAGATGCTGTAATCTCTTCATTGGCTGCTCTGACACTGATCCTGTATCAGTTGGTGTCAAAGATTATGAAGAGCTACTGAAATAGCCCACAGTTCCTGTTGGGATGTAAAGATAAACTCAACTCACAATGCGATATGATTCACGTTTTTATCACAATTTATTTTAAAACAAAATGACCTGCGGACAAATTAAAAACAGTGATCCTTTATTTGTAAAAACTATGCAAAATACCATTACCATCGGCAATAGTCTTGTGTATCTCAATCTTAAATAACAGAATATTAAAAAAAAAAAACGATCTCTTATTTCAAGTCTAACTGTTCTGGTCAAACTGTATAATATTTTGTATATATATATACAAAATATTTTTAAAAACAAGAGATTATAAAAAACATTTACTGTAAGGAGTTCCTCACTTCACAGAATCACAGTTTCTGGGGAAGAAGCTCGTCCCACGTTCTGTTCGAACACCTGAATGTCACTTAGGCTAGGTACGGACCTGACATGTTGGTTTAAAACCAGGTCACAACCAACGTTTTAGGAACATACCGCCACCTGCTGGACTAGCGTGTGTAGTCTCATTTGTAGTAGTGTGTAGTCTCAGACTTTTTGCGATAATGCAGTCTACTCCTTACGACTTGATGCACAATTCATTTTTTATTTGAACCAATGCGAATTGTCACCGATCTTTCTTTTCGATTGTTACAGATTCACGATGCATTGTGACATCCTTAGTTCCTGATAATAGTTCCAGCCAATATTAAGACGCACATATTAACTGTCAACCTGCTGCTTAATACACGTTTACCACCATCATTACCGTGTATTATTTATGATCAAGTACGAATAATTATTTTATTCTCAACAACTGTAAATTGAGACCTAAAGTAGTAAGTATTTATTAGTAACTAGTACATGACATTAACATGTTATTAAGCAGCAATAAATAGTTAATAAAGCATCTGGATGTTCAGAATAAGTAAAAAAAAAAGAAGACTCTGAAAGATGTAAATAATCCAAATGGTTTTGTCTTTTAAATGGAAAACAAACTTGCTATTTCTCCTTGTAGATTTGTATTTGTTCTTTTAAACAACAGCAGCGATGATCATGTCTTCAGTTCCTCTGCAGGTTCCCACCGTCACAGTTCACCTCTGTCACGGTTCTCAGTTCTAGATCTCAGAGCTCGCACCTGTGTCCTGTCATAGATTAGAGATGCTCTGAGGTCAGCAGACAAACTTGTCAATAAATAAGTAAAGGAAACGTGTCCATGAGTCACTTCTCTGTCAGATCAGACAGCTAATACAAGGTCGCTTTCTTCAACACTTCATCTCTGCAGCGTCACCTTTTTGTTCTACAACTATTGATCTCTTATTTTCTTTCTTGGTCTCTGATTTTTTCTTTACCGTTCTCTGTTTTTTTTTTTTTTCTTGCTTTATTCGTTCACCATTTTTCATCTTTTTTCCCCGTCTCTTCCTCTTTGTCTCAATCACTTCCTCTCTTGTCGTCAGTTGCCTGTAGCAACAAGCCTGTTGAAAAACTGGTTTCCTTGGTGCTGCGGTTGCCATGGTGACGTGCTGCGACAGCAGCTTCAGTCCAATGACTGGAGGTGAACCTTGAAGACTTCACAGTCTTCGTCTTCATCATCGTCCTTTCATAGAGCAGTTGACGCCCTGGTGTCAACGATTGATCGTTGATTTATTTGTTAATCAAACACCTGATTAATATTAATTAAAAATGAATAACCCTTTTATAAAATATGTTAAACCAAAAAAGGAGAAACAAGTCGACTTAATAATACTAATGGATTCAGCTATGCTGCCCTCTGCCTCTATTTTCTCTTTTTCTGTTCCTGTTTAACCCCACTAGGTGGCAATAATATAACTCAATTGATACCAGCTGCAGCCTAAACCCACAGAAGAAGAAAGTGGCATAGGAGGAGACATTGGGGTGAGGATCAGACCCTACTAAAGGGGTAAAATAAGTTTAAAAAAATCAGTGCTCAGCGCTGCAGCAGCCAGCAGGGGGCAAGCGGTTTGCAGCACACTGTTCTGAAAGAGCTAAGGCATTAGCAGCATTCGTGTTAGCAAACCCATATACGGTTTTTGATTGTGTTTTTTTTTTTAATTTATTATTTTTTTAACATGCTATTTTTGCAGAATTATGGGCCCCACCTGCACTGGGCCACTAGTATTCAACAGTATACTGCACAGGTCTGTGCTAATAGGTGGAGTCTAGACATGTCCAGCTCATACACACACACTGTGTGGTCTTTAGGGGGCGTAGACTAGTTTTTTGAATCGAACAGAGGTCTTATCTTCAGGCTGTTTCTAGGCGCAGGCAGGGGGCGCCAACAGTGCAGTCAGCACTATCACTTTAAGGTGAAAGGAGGATGCTGCTCCTCGCATCATCTTCTTCAGTGGACGCACACACTTTTCTTCTGTGAATTACGATGAAACAACCGCCACCATCTTCGTCATACTTCGTCTGCCGATGCTCCGTGTGCAGACACCGACAAAAGCCGAGTGAAACCGAAACCTCTGTGCCTCCGGAGCAGCAGCAACATCTGTGCTAAAGGATCAACCGAACACCAGCATCAGCGACATTTCACGCGTGTTTTTTCACGCGGTGGAATTTTATTTCTGCTTCGTTCTGATCCATCTCCATCTTCTTCTTCATCATTATCTTCATCATCATCTTCCTTCTCGGCAACAGCAGCGGACCTCGTCGGTCTGAGGCCGCAGTCATGACGCTGCTGGAGCAGCTTGTTTACCTCTGATTTATTGATTGATGGATGGATGGATGATTTGATGACTGATCAATGGATGGCACGCCGGAGCCGAAGCAGCTGCGATTACGCTCAGAGAGTAAGATTCAAATCTATTTTGATTTTGATTCTTCGATTACAACAATCTCGGTTTTGCGAAGGTTCTATTTATAGAAAGGCAGCGCGAAGAGTGTATTGATCCGATACAGGTCGATACTTTTTTCTGATCAATGAAGATCACATTGTCGGTCACTGGGTTTAAGTTAAAGCTGAATTTAAACATTTGAATTAGAGTGATGTAGTGATGTTGAGGGAAATGACGATCGATTAATCGCAATTGATGTTAATTGAACCGTATTCATGGTATTCGTTTATTTGACAGGTATGTTGATGATTGTTGATTTGATTTTTTTTATCAGACACTTTTATGTAAGTCAATTAATATATATAAAACAGGAACGCAAATTGTTTAAAAATACTCTTCTTTTGTCTACAGTTGAATCATGGTCATCCAACATGGCCGCCTCCGTAGGCAACACCTGCTGCTACGACTAATTAAAAAAAGTTCAACCCGCTCTTACACATTTATGTTGAATGTAAACAACTTTTACATTGACTTCAGTCATATATTTTGCATTTTAACAGTCACAGGCCAAAATGGAATGAATGCTAACGTAAATTAGCGGACAACTGACTTATTTAAATCCGCAAACATAATGCTAACGTAAATTAGCGGACAACTGTCTTATTTAAATCCGCAAACATCGGCCTTCAAATGAACTATTTCAGTTATTAATCCACACAGAAAACTAGACATATCTAGACTAATATTTAAATATTACATTTTCTTTCAGTTATTTTTTTTATTATGTTACATGCTTTTTGTGTGTGTGTGTGTTTGTCAGGAATACAACTTTCTGTTCGCACAGAGCAGATAACAAACAGGTCTCTGCTGGGCTTCTTCAGCTGGTTTTAATGAATGTCCTCAGAGGACAGCGCCTCTCCCTGGACACCTAATTGGACTGATTGAATAACATGGAGGCACATGGCAGCACCTTGTTTTTAAATGGTAATGTGTTAATGCAGACAATTTATTAGCAAGACAGCTAATGTTTGTTTGCTAACATCTCTGTTCCAGCTGGTCGCTAATGGAAGTATTATCAAGTGTGACTAACCTAGAATCTGTCTTCGTCTCTTCAGGGCCTCCTCTCTGATGAAGCCTATAAGTGATGGTTTATGCTCAGTCAACCCTTGGTGTCAGTCCCTCTTTTTACTCCACTTTGCTTACATATCAGATGTCCTTTAACTACTCGGAGAAGGAGAACTCGACTGTCCTGGCATCGTTAACCACAACCACCCAGTGCAGCCTCGAGGGCTCCTCCTCCGACCAGGCCAACAGGACGTATGCCTCCTACGAACTGACTGCCGGTGAGGTGGCAGTCCTGGGCCTGGTTTTTGGGGCTCTCTGGCTGATCTCTATCCTGGGAAATGCCCTCGTCTGCCTGGTTGTCCACCGCAGCCGACGAACTCAGTCCACCACCAACTACTTTGTGGTGTCCATGGCCTGTGCGGACTTGCTCATGAGCCTGGGCTGCGCCCCCTTCATCCTCTTGCAGGTGGCATCAGGACGGTGGCCGCTGAGTGCTGTGGCATGTAAAGCTGTACGTTATCTGCAACACCTGTGTCCCGGTGTTCAGGTCTACGTCCTGCTCTCTATTTCTGTGGACCGCTTCTACACCATCATCTACCCGCTCAGCTTCAAGGTGTCCAGGGAGAAGGCCAAAAAGTTGATCCTGGCCTCATGGCTCCTGGATGCCATCTGTATTTCGCCTTGCTTCTTCTTCTACGGGTCTTCATCCGTAGAAAATCACTGTGACTTTTTTCTTCCGGACAGTTGGGGCAGTGTAGCCTACGCAGCTGTACACCTGCTGGCTGGTTTTGTTGTCCCGGCAGCCCTGATTGTATTCCTCTACCAGCGAGTAATCCGCTACATTTGGAGGATCAGTGCCGATGGACACACAGTGCGGAGGACAATGAACATCGTCCCACGGACTAAAGTCAAAACCATCAAGATGTTTTTAATGCTGAACTCGGTTTTCTTTCTGACCTGGATGCCGTTCTATGTCGCACAGTTGTGGCACCCAGGAGAGTCCGACGATCCCAGCAGGGATGGACTCCTCTTCTTCACTGCCATCGCCTGGATCTCCTTCAGCTCCACTGCATCCAAACCAACGCTGTACTCCGTCTATAACGCAAACTTCAGACGGGGAATGCGGGAGACCTTCTGTATGTCGTCGATGAAATGCTACCGCAGTAATGCGTACACCATTACTGCGAGTTCTCGAATGGCCAAAAAGAACTACGTCGGGGTGGTCGATATTCCGGTGCAAACAAAAACGATGACCAAGGACTCGGTTTACGATACATTTGACCGAGACGTTAAAGAGAAAAAAGTAGCCTGGCTCAGTAACGCCAACCCTCCCAACACGTTTGTGTAAATGAGACTTCAACACGTTGAATTTAGACTAATGAACTATAAAAACCTTTATCACTTGTAGCATTAGCAGGTGAGCTAATAGAGACCACCATTCTGAGCCTGTATTTTACTTCTCCACTCACAGAAACAATAGTGTTCCAGGTAAAGGGCTTTTTTGGACAACTCCTCTTGGCAGCCATATTGGAAATTTGCCAATAGCTAACAGCTACTGATTTTTCATGGAAAATTTCAATTGTTGTCCCGTAATGTACTGTGTTTGGAAGAATCATTTTTGTCATTACACTTGCATTTTAGTAATGTTCACTTGTTAGCTAGCTAACTATAATCTGTGGCAATCTATCAGTGAAATGTTGTAGCCAAGTTTCTGCAGTAACGTGTGGGGTCGAAGCTGTACATTAGCAGCCCTGAGGATTTTGCTTCGTTGAGGTGGGACGTGATGTTTGTGAGCAAAACGCAATTTAAAGACATCAACATGAACCTTTGAATTATAATTGATAAGATTGACATTTTAAACTAAATTTGTATTGATAATTGTTTTAAATGTTTTGAAGACTGAGCTTCTTTCTGTGCAAAATGTAATACCGACATTAAAAAAAAAACGTAGTAAATGTTTTTGCGTTCATCAATTTTTTACCAACATTTGCTCGCAAGAAAAAGTTGGAAATCGCTCGCGCTCACTGAAATCTTCTGCAATGAACAAAACTAACCACACGAGGCAGCAGTAAAACAACAGCTCCCGTGTCATTTTGAGCTAAAAATTTGACAACTATCAAATAGTCAACTTACTGATGAGGTAGCAATATGTCCAGAATGTATGTGTGATTTTTTAAAAATCCCTGATTTTTCCCTGAGGAAACATCATAACCGAGATTCATTTAAAACCAGTGAAATGAAAAACAACAATTTTGAGATAGCTTTAACAACACTTATTTATTTGTGATTAAAGGAGGGAAAGAAAGGTGCTAAATTGCAGAAAGGTGCAATAATAATATCTGTTGGTCTGAAACGAGATAAACAGTAACAGCAGTTACTACTACTAAGAACCAGGTGAACAAAGAGCAGGTTGTTATCACACTGAGCAGAAGCTAAGAACACACTGAAGACACAATGCAATAAAAATCCTCCGACATCAGATCCATCTGGACCCTGGTGCTCTGACCCTCTCTGTGCCTCTCCCAACATTTGAACGAACACACGTTTGTTTCCTCCTCTGGCATCGGCTGTTCATGTGACCATCACAGATGACGAGTTTGATATTTGATTTATAATTAGCTGGAACTGATGTTTCTCAACAACTCCTTCCATCAGTGTCCGACTGTTTGCCCCTGAAATCGTTCATTCATGTCGAGATCTCTAAAAATGTTGCGCAGATGTTTAGCGAGATCTGATCTAATTTACTTTGAGATCTTCAATGTTTTGTAAGACTTCATATTTATTTTTAGAATGTGCAATTGTTGCACAATACCCTGCATGAATTTTGAACTATCTCATTATGAGGATTTTGCTCATTTTATCAAGGTTGGTATCAGACCCTTGTATGAACAGTGCAATTTTTTTTTTTTTTCACAAATATTTAACACGTTCTCATATTTGTTTTAACAGCCACAACCCTTCACTTTTATTTTCAGATGTTACAATTATTTTTAAATGATCTCACGAAAGGTTTGGCGAGACTTCCCCATTTATTTCTCGGTCTCCCTACATTTGTTTTGAGAAGAAACCTGCAAGGTCAAGTAATTGTTTTGAGAGATCTCACATTTCCTCATACTTCATTTTCATTTCGACTTCTTTTTATAATGTGAGACTTTCCAAATATTTTACCTTTTAATCGCAGGTGTTTTGCAAGACCTCCCATTTTTCCACAGAGAGACTCATCATATTGTGTCAAATCTCGTGTATCGGAGATTACGGGTAAGATGTTTACTCTCATTATCTGTGCTGGTTTGATCCTAATGTGATCGGTTCCATCAAAACCAGCAACATTCTCTGACGCCTGCCTTACAGCTGGAGGAAAATAAAATGTGTGGATGACTGAAGCTCTAAAGCTTGGTCATCATCCTCCCTCAGAGTCAGAGTTTTCCCTTTCAAACGATGCAGCGGCCATCTGTCTAACTCTGACCGTTGGAGCTGATGTTGTTTTTGTTCTTGGACGTCTTGTTGCTGTTTCCTCCACTTTGAATGGTTCTCTGCTCGTCTCCGGTCAGAAGAGCTTTGATTTCTGATGGGATTTTGCCTTGGTCCATAGCCGAACACCACTGTTTGTACTGTCGACAAACAAAAACAAGAACAGTAAAAATATTGTACGTTTTTTTTGTGCTAACATTTACTTTAGTTCTTCTGGCAAATTTCAGCCAATTGCTGTCGACAAACAAAAACAAGAACAGTATAAATATTGAAATATTGTACTTTTTTTTTTTACTTTAGTTCTTCTGGTAAATTTCAGCCAATTATTTATTGAATTGTTGTCGTCTAGGATTAAAATATTTATCAATAATTGATGTACCATCTCCAGCTCCTCCCTCAGTGCACAGATGGCTCTTTCTTTACTGGACACCAGTTCCTCCAAATACTGGTACCGCAGTTTCTTCCGGGCTCGACACTCTCGAGCGCTCTGACGACTTCTCTCTAGTTTGGCCTTCAGATCAATCTTTGCAGGTTTACGGCCGCGTTTGCCAGGTTTCTTAACTTTGCCTCCCCCCATCTGATCAACACAGCAGTGCATACACATTAACACACACTTACATTAAATGACAACATTATGTGTTCATCAAATACACACAACAAAGAGTTAAATGTTTCAGAACGTGTTGTCATTTAGTAAAGAGTAAATTACATTAATAAACTTGACCTGCACAATAACCGAGCATCCACAACACAAAGACTCAAAACAAGTGTCAGGGTACAAAAACGAATACAAAAACCCTCAAAAAGAAAAATAATAGAGACACGAATCTCAAAAAGCACGTGGAAAAAACACGAATCTACCTCATATCAACAAAAAAGACACACAACAACAAAGAGATCCAAAGATGAAAACGTAACATCCTCTGCTGGAGAGACACTGCTAACGTTAGCTGCTACTGGCCCTGCTAAAAATACATATGCTATCACTGCTAATGCTACAGCCTTTGGATGACTGGCAAAAAAATTAACGGCATGTTAGTGAACATTAGTCACCTTAGCGACGATTCGACACTGGTTAACCTGGAGAACAATGGACTAAAAGACAGCTAGTTACTTATAATCTGACCTTGTTTTCATCCATCGTCTGCAGAACTAACGCGCTGAAAGTTAGCCCTCGCTAGCCTCAGAAAGCTAACCGCGGAGTCCACAGGGATAGTTAACAACCCTCTGCAGAAACAAATATAATCGTAAGGAGAACTAACATTTAGTCAGACTAAGATCCGACTCGGGTTGGTTTTCTGCCTCACTCTGTTTACATCGCGCTTCCTAGTGACGTAACGTAAGTTCGTCACGTAATATACGTTTTTTCCCCACATAATCTTAAATATAATGCCACTGTCCCTCGAAAATAGTGGCTATTCCAGTTCTATGTGTAATAACTTTTAATAAATACGTATTTATAAGTACACACGCTGAATGTATAACTTTTTGAAACATCTAAATACATCAATATTATGTTTTATTTACAAATAAATTACATTATAAGAGCAGTTACCTAAATCTAATTACATTTTTATGTATGAGAATATTTCATGTTATGTATAAGCATTTGGTAATTGATGCTATATTTTCTGGTAACCTTTTAGTTTTACAAAAATGGGAATCTATTTATGGAAATGAAGGAATCAGGAAATAGCATTCTACTCTAGCTTCTGACTTTCTTTGGACCTTGTTGGCTATCTGTTGATATGTGTACGGACACGCACACACTGACATTTCTCTCGACCACTTATATGATAATAATAGATAATTATCTATTGTCTACAGATTTTCCAGTCAGGTTGCAAAGGTTTACTACATTTCTTAAAAAATGTATTAAATATGAAGTGCCATTAAATGTTTCTGTGCATCCTCAGGAGACACATTCAGTTTGGTGAGTAGATTCATCAGGGTCCTGCAGTCGGGCAGCGACAGAACACTGGGCTTTGATCATTCAGAATCAACCATGCATGCTTATTGCTCCAGAATGATAAAACTTTTAATTTTTCCTCCATCACAACCCTTTGTTCTTAAGCAGCTCCCAATTAAATTCAAAACTATACGCTCAGCAAATGTTACAAAAGACACACACACTTAAAATATTATTTAAAAAATTGTCTCATCACCAGTATAAATGTTGAAAGTTGTTAACTTTTACGCAAAACAAAGTAAATTGCTTGGTCAATGAATGCATATGAATCATTACTTGAAGTAGGAATTTTTCCTTTTAACAGACGTGGTATCAATCCTAATTTTTTTGGATTTTTTGACCACCAAAACATGCTAATGGAATGCTATTTTAAATTTAAAAGCAATAGAAAGGCCTGTAATGTTTTGATATTTTTTGAGTAAGGCAGTAGTTTGTAGTTGTTATAACAATGGAAAGTCACAACTGTTTTTGCTCAAATATTCGTAATATTCTTTAACTGAAAGTTATTTCAGACATTTAGAATTAAAGCCAGCTTCACCTAGTTAAAGGCGGCAGCGGCAGCCATGTTGTTTATTTAGTGTCGGCTCAGTTAAAAAAAACGTCCGTGTGCCTTTAAGATTCAGCTTGTTGAGTTCACATTTGACTGGAGCAGGGATGACGTCACCGCTGTATTTTTAACGCACTGACCTCATCTCTCTCTCACCGAGGCTTCGTCTCTTCACCGCAACTTTCTGCTTCTCTGTCCCGGAAAAAAGCCTCGTCTTCACCGGGATACAGCAGTACCGGGCCGCCGCCGAACGGCTCCGAACCGGTCTGAAAGGTTTTGCCGGAGTCCCAACTTTGGCGTCGTGTTTTAACGGTAAGTTTACAGACCTGCCCGGTGTTAAAAATATACAAATGAGCCGCGGCAGCTGCTAAAGTTCCGTTAACGGGGGCCCAAAGTTGGAGTCGAGTCCTCGAGTTTAAGCGACTGTGACCGCGAGCCGATGGCTTTTAACGGTCCGTGACAGAGCGGCGAGCTGCAATCGGAAGAAATGACCGTTTAATGTCTGAAAAAGAGTTTATCCCGCTCCACGGTTTTTCATTTCTGTTGACAGTAGCTATGAGTCACTAATACAAAACCTCATTGAATAGCTTTTTTTTAAAGGAAAAGCAACATAATACTTTCTATCTCAATTTACACTTGACTGGTAATTTTAACCCATTTGTTCCATATAAACTAATTGCAATAACACGTCGTCAGCTGTCGTTGATGTTCAACAGTACATTTAATATATTTTCTTCTTGGGGCAGTAAAAACATTTAAACTTGTATACAATTGATCAGCAGCCTATCTGTTTGCAGCACCAGACCTCATTGAAAAAACAGCACATTTAAAAAAAAGATGCAGCATACATTTATTGTTTTTTTTTATACATTACAATTTTTAAAAATGACTTAATTCTCTGACACTAATAGACACGGTTTTTATTTTAAACTAATATTTACGTCACCTTTCAATCAGCTGACAATAAAGTAAACAATACTTTAAGTCAGCAGACGTGGAAGTGGAACATACATTAACTGAAGTAACTGTACTGAACACCGAAACCACCATTTTATAAACGTATGAACAATTTACTGAGGAAGCAGCAAATGTGCATTTCCTTCGAAAATAAAGGTTAACACTTTTTTGTTTAATCTTCAAACATTGCCTATGTTTATTGTGAATTGTTATGGTCCTTAGTTCTTTCATCAGTAGACATTAGAATGAAAAAATGTACATTTTCTCGTCCAATCACTGCACAAAATTAAAAAAAAACATTATATATTTAAGAGGAGATAAGCCATGGATAGCGTGTTCTGCCTATTTGAATTAAAACCTCCAGGTCTTTGTCTTTTATAATAATAGTTAAGTAAGTAGTTATTGTGTTAATGTGAACACAAAACATCCGTTTCATTAAACCAACTAAAGTTTATTTTTTAAGCCAGTTCTACCTTTCCTGTCTTTCCCACTATTCATAACAAAATATTTTTAATCAAACATTAACTAAACTCCTTTTAAAAACAACCTTCCTAAATCATGGTGTGTTTTTTAAGTTGTAAAAACATCTTTTTCAGATTCAGATCACTTCTGTGATTTAATTACCCGTGAACACAAGAAATCAACTTTTACAGAACTGACATGAAATTTAAAACCCATTTTAAACCTTAAGTCAGCTTAAAATCACCAGCTGACTTTCCTTCAAACACTGGTGACAAACATCACATGTATTTTTCACTTTTACTGGTGACAAACATCACATGTATTTTTTAGAATAATATACCACTTAAACAAGTTAACTGTATCAGATGACATTAGTTAAAGAAAAGAAAAAATACCTGAATAGAAAAACCTACTGTGTTCAGTGCCAAGCCCTATTGAAAAAACAAACCATTCATATTTTTCAGTTTCATTCTCACAACATGACTTCATCTTTGAACAAAAACACATTTGTTCACCATGACGTAACGTTTTACAACAGCTGAGATTGAACAGCACATTTAATGAAACAGTTCGACGTCCCTAACCAAATGTAGTTGAAAAAAAAAATCCTCAACACTTTCAAGATGACCTCCACTGTTCTAATGAACACATGGCCTGACTTCATCTTTGAACACTGATACTACCAACATGTGTATTCAATTCAGTTCAAAACACATGTTTTTGTGGCTAACCTTAAATGTGACGTATAGGTATAACATCTGATTAAACAACCTGCTGTCTATTTAATACAAATGCTCCATAAGGAAATATTTTTAAAAAACTAAATATTTTTTTAGTTGACACTAAAAATAGTTACATATTCAGTTACAAAATACATTTTCCGCAGAGTTTATTAGTTGAGTGAAGTTTATTAACAGACTCTATTGGTTAAAGAGTTGGGTTTTTCTTACCAATTTATTTATTTATTTATTTATTTTTGAGTAGTAAAATCCTGAAATTAAAGTATTCGTTTTGTGCTTAATTATTCATTTAATACTTTAAATACAATTAAAAAAAATTATATATAGAGGTACCATTGATTTTAATAGACCACTTTGATTTGGGTAAAAGTAACAAAATAAGCATCGTTCATTGTTATTGAAAACAAAATCATATAAAATGATCATTCCAGGTATTGTGATTATGAAATCACTGTTGAAAAAAGTAAAAAGATGATAGCAATATAAAAACCAATACAAATTTTAATGAGTATGTTTCAAATCCACTACTGAAGAAACACACTTTACTTCATAAAAGCTGAAATGCTGCTGCACATCAGCTTTAAAGACAGGGGGCGCAAGATGAATATTATTGTTCTGTGCCTCTGGTTCAGCCATGTCTACTGAAGCTAGGTCTGTACTTGGCTAAAGAACCAACATGACGTGGTGACATGATTGGTTTAACTGAGCCCATCGATGACATCATAGACGGCAACGTTTTTCACAGAATACTGGCATCTGTCATTGGTTTGATGAAACAAGACATGGAGAGAAAGAGAGAGAGTGAGAGAATCTGGATCTCACACGTTGTCTAAGTGGCATCAAAAGAATTGTCTAGTCCCGCGACCTCACCTTGGGTTGCAACCTAGTATTTGAGAAGCATGAAAATGACGGACAAATATTTAGTATCTCAGTCAGTGTAAACTGACAAATACCTATAAACCAGTTGCTTCATTTTATTTGACTGCAGGGCCTCTGGGAAATTTTGAAAAATGTCCGTGGTAATTTTTTTTTTCTTTTTGCGTGTATACCTGTAGTGCCTGCAGACATTTCCATGAGCCTAAATAGAAAGTGTCGAGAAGCTATCATC